AAAAAAAAAAAAAAAAAAAATCAGTATTGTTTCAGATTAAAAAAAGAATAAAATAAAAAAATGCGTTAATTAAAATAATAATCCCAGATTTCTATAAATAAACCCAGACATCATCAGGTTCCTAATTCATCATCCAAACACGACTGCACTTTTCACTTTCCCTGTTTTCTGCGCCTCTTTCTCTCTCTAGAACCCATTATAATCCTCTTCCATCACAACGCTTTCCCCCATTTTAGAGATTTTGTAGTGGGATTTACATATTTTAATTGTGGGTTTTACTTAAATACTCCGTATTGAAAATCTTGATTTGAAGAAGTTGCTTGCTTTGTGGCCGATTTATCTTTTTTTCTTCCTCCGATTTGATCGATCGATCGACGCATGAGCGGGTTGGTACAGCTGGATTTTTCTCCTAATTCCAACCATTTTAATTTTATCCAGTTGTCGGGGACCTGTAATTTTTTATTGTTCCTCTTGTTATTGAGATTAAGCTCAATCAATTTGAAGATTGATAATAGTTTGATCAATTTGTCTAATCATGGATTCGAGGGAAAACAGGAGTAATCTCCAGTCGCAAACAGGTGAGCTTGTTAGTTTTTAGCTCGATTGTGCTGGTTTGATGTAGTTAATGTTAAGCTAATGTGTTGATGTTGTGATTTTGCTGGAATTTCGGCCGTGGATACTGATTTTGTGTATATAGAAGTGTTCGATTTTGTGTGTTTGGATTATAAGTAGAATAGGAAATAAAAAAAGTCAAAACATTTTTTGTTGAGAGCAAAAAGAAGAGAACTTGTTGAAGTTGTGATTTAGCTGGAATTTTGGTCGTGGATGCTGCTTTTTGTGTGTTGAAATTTTGAATTGTGCGTAGTTTGATGTTACGTTGAGGAATATGAAATAAAAAGGTGATTTTTTTTTTCATCTTTTTATATTTTTGTTGAGAGCAAAAAAAGCTGAACTTATTTCTAAAGTTTGTTGAACTTTATTAGTATCTTCGACATATTTTTTTATGTTTGTAAGATGGTTCTTTGTGGGGGCTTGTTTGGAGAGCCTTAAATAGCTGATCATGATGTTTATATTATAGAATAACCTTAAAGATCATTACTTTTACCAGATTGTTTTTTCTCAGTTTTCATTGAGACCTTCGGGAGACCTATCCTATATTATTATGAATGTTCCAAAACTAAATTAACAGTGCATGATCATGGTAAAAATTATAGAATTACCATAGGGTTCCCCTCTGATATAACATATACATAAATTTAAAGTTTCCCTAGTTATTTCTGAGTAAATTTTGTATTCTCCAGGTCCTTGCTATTCGACCTTGGGGAGAAGATCGGTAGCCTCGCCATCTGTCATCGTCATAGGTGCCGGATTTGCAGGCATTACAGCTGCACGTGCTCTTCATGATGCCTCATTCCAGGTATATATACTTAGATGTAAATCTTCTAGTATGTTGTAATACATGATTTGGAGATATTGGTCTTTAAGAAAAAGTTTATTTTGCAGGTTACTGTATTGGAATCACGGGATAGAATTGGTGGCCGAGTGCATACGGATTACTCATTTGGTTTCCCTGTTGATTTGGGTGCTTCATGGTAATTTTTTTTAATTAATTAATTATTATTATTATTATTATTATTATTATCAATGGAAATGTAAGCTTTACATGTTGCTTGTTACAATCATTGCTAACTGCTGTTTCATATTTTTGGTTAGGTTACATGGTGTTTCCAAGGAGAACCCATTAGCTTCGGTTATTGGACGACTGGGACTACCACTTTATCGAACTAGTGGGGACAATTCGGTTTTATATGATCATGATCTAGAAAGGTTCTTCTTTTTTACCCATTTAAATTTATAGAGGCCGTTACTTATAAGAGTGTTTTTTCATATGCTTGTCCTGCTTTATTGCTATTTTTAAAACTATTAACCTTTTGAAATGATTCGGATTTTGGGAATGGGCTACGCCAATTGCGAATCATGTGCTCATTTCATTCTTGTTGCAAAACTTTTCTGGTAGCTGATTGAATAAAATACTTTGCGAAAAGATGATAAATGAATGAAATTCAATACCCATAGTTTATCGGTAGTATAATCTCTATGTATATTATGTTTGAATAGTAATCGTGTTATGAATGGGTCAATAAATGAATTCAGTTTTTTTGTCTTGCAAAAACTATATTTCATTTTTAATAGGTAAAAATAAAATATTGTCATTTGTCCAGTTATGCTCTTTTCGATATGGATGGAACACAAGTTCCACAAGGTCTAGTCTCAAAGGTTGGGGAAACTTTCGAGACCATTTTGAAAGAGGTATGCCCACTCTCCTCTCTGGCTTTCGGCTCCATAGTTAAGAAAATATATCAAACTTATTAGCTTTACCCACCGGTCACATGAATTGATCTTTTATACTCCATAAGACAAAAATACTTTTTTTTTTACTTCCCAATTGTCAATTTGTTTTCTTTTATTTCCTTTTCCAACTGCTTTCGGATTTGGTTATACTATATTTTCTTGCAGACGGATCTTATACGGCAGGAGTTCAGTGAAGACATGTCAATACATCGTGCAATTTCAATTGTTTTTGGCAGGAGACCAGATTTAAGGTTCCATTTTGTGTGTGTAATTCTTTTTGGACATCATGATTCATATTATATGCTTGTCTGAATATTTACGAGTTTTTTTGCATGCTTATTGTATAGGCTGGAAGGGCTCGAACATCAGGTTTTGCAATGGTACCTATGCAGAATGGAAGGCTGGTTTGCTGCAGATGCCGAGACTATATCACTTAAAGGCTGGGATCAAGTTAGTTATCCATCTTTTGTTTGGAAAAAAAAACTTCACACTTTTTAAAGTTAGGACTTTAATTTGCTTGATTAATCATCGTTAATTGATGACGTGTCTAAAATTTTACTTTTTTTATATTGTGTTTTTCAGGAAGAATTGCTTCCTGGTGGGCATGGGCTTATGGTACGCGGATATCTTCCAGTAATCAATACACTCGCAAAAGGGCTAAACATCCGCCTGGGCCACAGGTAAAAAATAACACGAACACAAATATATAACCTCTCGATTATACCCTATAATATACAATTCATCTCATATCTCACATCTTTTTTATTTTTTTCCCTTTTCGTGTTTGTTTAATTTTTAGTGTCACTAAAATAGATCGACGCCATAACGGAGTAAAAGTAACTGTAGAAGACGGTAGAACATTTGTAGCAGATGCAGCTATAATCACTATTCCCCTCGGCGTTCTAAAATCAAATCGAGTCAAATTCGAGCCGAGATTACCCGAGTGGAAAGAGGAGGCAATTAAGGACCTCGGTGTTGGGATTGAGAATAAAATCGTCTTGAACTTTGATAATGTCTTTTGGCCGAACGTTGAGTTCTTGGGAGTAGTTGCTGAGACTTCTTACAGCTGCAGTTATTTCCTTAATCTGCACAAAGCCACGGGTCATCCGGTACTCGTTTATATGCCGGCTGGAAAATTGGCCCGTGACATTGAGAAGATGTCAGATGAGACTGCCGCTAATTTTGCTTTCACGCAACTTAAGCGAATCCTTCCAAATGCTTCTGAACCGGTAAAATATCTCTTGAATTCTCTTTTTTCTTTCTACCAAATGTGCATTTTACATTATTGTTCTAACTGGTACAATACTCGTGTACTACATGGGTACTTGTTAAGAAAATTATATTTAAAATTAAATAATAATAACATAAATTGTTTCAGTTTTAAATACTTTTTGAAAAAGTAGATTCTTATTTAAATTTAAAATGACATTGTCACTTACACGACTTACCATCTTATATTTTTTTTTTAATTTATATTATAATTTTTTTAATTTATATCAGATAATTGTTTTGCAAGTTAGTCTAAATAATTATTGAATTAATATATAAATGTAATTTAATTTTAATTATAAAGATAAATATTTTTTGTATTTATAATATAGATATCAAATCGAAGTTCATCAAGACACGATTTTTTAATATATTATATATAAAAAATTATTAATAAATAAAAAATTATTCTCTTTAAAATATATTTATAATTTAAGTTCGTAAATTTGTTATAATTTTAAAAGAATTATGAGGAAAAAAAAATTGAGAAAAAAATTATACCTTATAAACCACGTCTACAATAGGAAATGATATTAAAACATAATTAATGCTCTTAAAAAGTACCATAAATATCCATATTCTAAACCTAGTTACTTTTGGATTAAATAAGTTAATATTCATCCAAGCCAAACAAGAAAGCTTAAAAATTTGCCACATAGAATCTCGAAGCGTGCGAGTCAGCCATTTAGGCTTAGCACATTCAGAAATTATACAGGGGGGATTTGACAAAATATTAATCTGATGCCACCAACGGTGCAGATTCAGCACCTCGTCTCTCATTGGGGCACGGACAAGAACTCGTTGGGCTCATACAGCTATGACACTGTCGGCAAATCCCACGACCTTTACGAGAGGCTGAGGATACCTGTCGACAACCTGTTCTTCGCTGGCGAGGCCACGAGTTTCGATTACCCGGGTTCGGTCCACGGAGCCTACTCGACGGGCCTCATGGCTGCAGAGGACTGCAGGATGCGCGTCTTGGAACGTTATGGTGAGTTGGACCTTTTCCAGCCTGTCATGGCCGAGGAGATCTCGGTCTCGGTCCCGCTCTTGATCTCCCGTATGTAATGTAAGTAAAGAAAAATTGGGGTCCTTTTTTATTTTTTATTTTTTATTTTCAATTATTAGGTGGCCCCGCGGGCCACAGGTGTTGATTTGCTTTGCCGATTGTGCTCTGTGAAATTGCGGGTAAAATGAATTTTCCGCAGTCGGATGATCAGAGGATCGGTTATTATATGGGCTTGGACGTTCGGTCGACGCATGTTTGTATCGAGACTTTTTGAGAATAAAAACGCGCTTTTTAAGTTGATTTAGTAAGGTTGAGTTGAGTTTGGTTTGGTAATGGGTGTTATGAATTCTTGTTGAACTATTGTGTGTGTGTGTGTGTTTTCCTGTTAACTCATGACTTTTCTGGATGTGTACTTTCCTTGGGTGAGTATGAAACTAAGAAAGTTCAAATGGGAACTGAATATTTGGTTTTGTGGTTAACAATTTGAACTAAAAGCTCAGACAGTTGCAGTATGATTCCATGGAACATACACAATTATCTATCTATATCTATCTATCTATCTATCTATACTACTCTAAAAGGACGAGTGTTTTTGTAAAAATATGAACTACCTAAAAAACCCTTACTTTGACATATTTTTAATGGCAAATTAGTAATACACTAATACACATCATATTTTATATTTTTAAATATTAAAATGAATTACCTAATAAACTCTTACTTTGACATGTTTTTAATGGCAAATTAGTAATATACTAATGTCCATCATATTTTATATTTTTAATTATAACTAATATTTAATTAATTAAATACAAATACATGAACAAATCATTCCACACTACTAAAATCAAATACAATATGTTGGTTTGACACCATTATTTCTCACGAATTTATTTTCTTCCGCATATCTCTAAAACTGTTTGATAGGATATAGAATTGTTGTTTTGAAAAATGTCAATAATTTTTAATATAATTTTAATAGTAATATTGTAATCACATTTCATAACTCTAATATATAAAAGTTCCTTAAAGAAATTAAAATTGATCTAACAAAAAAAGCATAATAAACACTTATAAAACTAGAAATCGCTATTGTTTTTTTCACATAATAACCACAAAGTATAGAAACATTATTTTCAAAATAACATATACAAAATGTGTAATAGTATGCGAGATTAATTGTTGAATGATTGTTCTGCAACCTAAACTTCTAATCAATTCAATTTCTTCGATACATAAGACCAGAATAATTTTATGAAATTGTATAATACTAAAACTTAATCTATTTGTTTTCACGTCATATGAGATGCCACTTTAGCAACATAGATTAATTTTAACCATATAAATCTACAAATAAATTAAAAATATCTCGAGAATCATAATATGATTTACATGTCGAAAATTAATTATTTTGATCAAATAATTATATTCATATATTATCATTACTCATCTATCTATTAATATGTGTTATTATAATAAAATGGTTTTTAAGAAAAAAATGTACGAAATAAAAAATTTATATATTTGAGTATAACTGAGAATATTATGATTATATATAATATAATATAAAAATATAAAATTAATTGATATAAATAAGACATCTATCATTATATAAAAAGAATAACCTTTTTACAAATTTAGAAACCTTTTCCCGCCAAAATCATTAAATATATCCTACATATAGTAATTGTTGAATAAATCTGAATAGACAAAAAAATCGGCTCATTAATTGTGTAAAGATTTGTATCTCTTTTTCCTGTTTTTTAGTTTATCAAAACCGTTGTTTGACAATAAATATTTGTTTTTCTTTTTCCTATTTTTAGTATAAATCTACATGAGCTTATCTCTGTTAGAAAATCTCTATGCATACGTCTCACGTGTTTAAAAAATCTCATCCCTTATCTATACAGATTTGAAAAAATAAAATAAAAATTAATTCATAATTACTACTAGAAATTCATAATCTTTAAAAAGAAAAAATAAAATAAAATAAAAACCAATTCATAATTACTACTATAAATCCATTATCTACTTTAAGAAGTTAATTTTCATCGGTCTAATTACTAATATTTTTACAAATATTATAAGCTAATCATACAAAAAAGTATAATAATAATTTTGAAATGGTGTGTAATCAAATTTTTTTATTCTCTTATACAAAATAATTTTACATTGTTTGACCCTGAATCTTTAATTTATAATTATTAAGTATTGTTTATCCTCTCTTTAATTTATAATTATTTTTTTTTCTTCCTCTTTTTAAATAGGATCAATAGTAATTTCCTCTTCCGCCATTGAATGACTCAAACTCGAGGTCTATTTATAATATTGTTAATTTAATATTATTCCCGCAGAAATTCTATGGTGCCCATATGGGCACCATATGGTGCCATAATTTCACGATCCAACGTCTAATATCCATTGTGGAATTGATAGAATGGATATTAGGCGTTGGATCGTGAGATTTATGGCACCATAGAATTTCTGATTATTTCCGAGCATCGCACGGGGTATACACTAGTTATTACTGTAAAAAAATAATTGTTTATTCATCTTGCATCAATATTATTTGCGATTTCGTTAGCAAGTCATTTACGATTATTTTATTTATTTTTGTGTAAATAAAGTTAAACCACAACATGTAATTATTTACACACGCAAAACCAATACATGTATTAATTTATTACATATAATAACAAAGATGATATATACTTTATTTATTTATTTTCCTATCGGAAATGTTAAAATTGACACAGTTAAATATATTGTTTTTATCTTATATATTTATATTTTTATGATTTAGTGTTTTTGTTTTTCTCTTTATTATTATTATTATTATTATTATTATTATCTTCTTAGAATTTGTCTCCGTGCAGATGTACGGGTTGATTACTAGTATGATTCAAAAAAGTGCTATATTTAAATTTTATGTATTTTTTAACAAACCTAAAATTTATACACACACACACACATATATATTAAAATACATATGAAAGAACAGTTTAAAGTTAAAAAACAATAACTCTAATAATTATTATTAAATTTATAACTAAGTTGTAATACTTACTAATAACTATGAAAAAAAGTAATAAATAAAAATATTATAATTAGTAAAAGTATTTGTAGAACTTTTAAATTTGTATTTATCGACATAAGCAAATAATTGTAAATAATTATGTTTTTTAAAATTTTATGAACAAAAGTTAACTCGACAATATTATTGATGAATTTATGAATTATAAATATTTAGTTGTAGTATAAATTAAAAAAACTTGTAATTAAATATAATATAATATAAGATATACAAATAATTGAAATATAATGAGACAGATGGTCGAAACAATTCTACACTTTATATCATGCATTTTTTGACAAATCTACAGTTAAGAACATGTAAAAGAACAAGATAAAAGTTTTAAAAAAATATTAAATATGATAAATAATATTAAAAATAAATAAGTTGTGACACGTACTAATAAATATGAAACAAAGTAATAAATAAAATTTTTATATTTAATAGAAACAATATAAACTTTTTATAAATATACTTATCGACGTAAACGAGCTGAGTTGTTAATGTTAGTTTTTTCTCCTTATAATTTTATGTGTAAATTTGATGTGATAGACAATAGTTATTTGTACATTTATCCATGTAAGTTACCAAAAAAAAATCTTTATTATTCTAATTTTAAATAACTTTTTATTTGCTATATTAGTTTTTTTTAATATAATATATAAATATCATATTGAACATATAAAATAGGAAATATTCTAATTTTTAAATATTTAATATGTAAGAAATATAACTCAATTGGTAAATTAATAAGTAATCTTGAGATAAAATAATGAGTGATTTCTGAAAAAAAAAATATATATATAGGAACTAAAAATTTCATGTGTTTAATATATTTTTAATAGAAAAATTGTAAACACAATTAATCAATAAATACTACATAAAAAATTAATGTTTAAGAGGACTACAACAAATTTCTATATTGCAATGAAAAATTCAACGGTAAGGTAATCTACAGAAAATTCCAACGAATATTTCATAAATATTGCTTTCATTGGAAAATTTCATTGGCTATTCCAACAAAGTTAAGATTAAATTACTTGAACTTTAGTGGATTTAAAGATTTTAATTACTTGAATTTCCATTGAATTTTTTTTGGACCATATTTCAATTGTTGGAAAAACTGTCATTGGAATTGTGCAAAAATTCAATGAAAATTCCATTGGAAAGCTAATTGCAGTGATAGATCTAAAATAATTTCATATTGGGGGCATTATTTAGTTAATAGAAAAAATATACCATCAAAATAACATGTCATTTTAATTTATAAGTTAATCTATCACCTTTCTCATTATGTAATACATTTTAATAAATCAATACAGTCACAATAAAATAAAATATATTTCAGAAACCAAAAATCATGATTTTTCTCAATTCAACTTAAGAAGATCGTTATATTCTTGTTGTAATTTTCGTTGGAATTTTCTCATTTTCTTGTAGTAAAAGTAGGACTCAAATCTATAAAAAAAAATTGCATTATATATAATATTGTGTGCAACTATTATTATGAAAATTTTTATATGATAGAAAATATAACACATTCAATGTAATTATCCTTTAATTTATGATAATAAGTAATTTTTGTTTTAAAACAAACAAGATACTTTGAAAAGTCCTTAATTATTTTATTAGTATTATAATAACTAAATAAGGGGTAAGAATGATGAGAAAACTTATAGCTCTCATTAAATCAAAGAGTAAAAATACTGATAGAATTACTTAATGTACAATATCAATTGGAGCTGGCTAATGAGAAATATAAAACATACTTAAGATAGACATATATTTTAACTAGAACTTTTAGGTACATAAAATATATATGTATATATATATATATATATATACATTTCTTTAAAATTGGGTATGTTAATCTTAAGATTTTTTAGTTAAAAATTTAATTACTTTCTCTCATTAAATTTTTTAATTTTGAAATACTTCATATTTTTTATTTGTTACTCTTTTTATATGTAATATATCACATCATTTCTTTTCAATAATGTTTGAGTTGACCAATATATTGCAAAATTATAGTATATATTGACCTAAAATTTTAGGTCCTCAATTCATTTCATTTAAAATAATAAATTGACCTAAAATTATAGTATATATTAATTTATTTATTCGAGTTAAATCAATTTTATTAAGTATAGAATAACATAAGATAAACTTGTGGTATATTTTTCTTACATAGATTTGAAACAATTCATATTACAAATAAAATAAAAAAAATGGAGGTAAACTTACAACTATTCCCACATTTTAGCTAGAGCGCCCATTCTCGATATATATTTGACATTGGTTTGCCGTAATGCTGAAACTATGGCGAATGCACCTTAGGTACAAACGAAGCGAAGCGAAGTGAAATCATAGATAAAAGAAGGAAAAGACTAGGCCAGAGAAGGGAAATGAGATAACATTAGCTATGTGAATTAAAAAGACAAATAAATAAGTTGGACGTTAAACTATTATTCAATTACTGCTTGAAAAAGAACCCTATAATGGTGGTAGCATATATGTATTCAGTGATTATGAAAATGACTTAGTTACCTAATATTTTATCAGACATTGGAAAAAATTGTAAACTTTTTAATCTAATAATCCGTATAAAAAGTACATTTTTATCAAATATATTTAATTTACATTATATCTTATGTGATTATAGTAGTTGCAACCTAATAAAAAAGATAATTTAAAAACATCATTATATAAAACACATACAAAAAATAACGCGATACATATAAATGTGCTTTAATTATTTAGCAAATAAAATATTATTTGTCTATAGAATAAGAAACAAATAAGATAATAGTAACACAATGAGAAAAAGAATACGTGTGAATTTTCTTAGAGAAGTATGAATACCAATATTTACGAACAAAAAGTCTTTGAAAACTACTACTTTTTTATTGCTGGCGTTTAAATATAGGGACTCTGTAAGAAATTGGTTTTCATAAATAATGATCCTATATTATTTATTTTTAATTTTAAATAATTAAAAAATCCAAAAATTTGTAATACATAATGTATATTTTAATCATGACTCCATAATAATAAACTTTGCAGATGACTAAGAGTATCATAATATAATAGAATTCTAACTCTTCTCCTATCAAATATTTTAACAAATGATATGCTTCTCAATATTTTCTCATTGTTTTGATTGTTTTGTTTTGTCATTGTTGGAGAATAAAGAACTGATCTTTATCTTGAATTTTATAATCATTTTGTATGATGAATAATGTTGGACAATAAAAGCATTAAAGAAGTTATTAGGCACACAAATATTGCATATTTAAAAGAATGTGAAAGATATTATGATAAACAATTCTAAAATCATTGCAACAACCATGACGGTCAATAATTTTCAAATAATAGATTATATTGTTCGTCTATATTCCAAATAAACAACAATGTCGGAGTATCAAAACAATTTTGAATGTTCGAATGAAGTTGTCACTTTTTATAGAAATATTTATAATCTATCGGCATATTGTACTCGAACATATGTGCAATTACTTTAGAGGTACTTTCAAGTAATGTATGATAATTTCAAAAAATAATTTAGTACCTCGGGAGAAGTACATGTAACCAAAATTTTGGAAAGTCAACTTTTATTTGGAGATAAAATTTTTTCCCACCTCATGGGGCGATGCATCAATGGGGTAGGCACCAATATGTCTAGAGACATATGAATGTAGTAGTTTATACAATGATAAAAAATACCAACAATTTTAATGACATAGTTAGTTATTTTATAGAGATATTTATGCATTGTTAGTAGAAGCACCTTATTATAAAGATTATACGATCATGAAGTTTGACTATATGTTGGGTCAGAATATTTCTTAAGTGTTTGAATAAAATTAACGTTTTGCCAAATGAATTAAGAGAAATTTTACAATAGTATTGATGTATTAGACTTCAGCGAGTACGAATGTTTCTTATAAGAAAGATGAAAGAAAATTTTAGTGGTTTTTGTATTAAGGATTTGTTTTTTATATATTTTAGTTGGAGGTAGTAAAACGTTATTTCACTTTTTTTATATTAGGACATCATTACGCTAATTCTAAATAAAAAAAATCACATATGAATTCATTTGTTCTATATTTTATTTGATTCCTGCAATAATATGTTTAATAAATAAATTAATTTATTTTATAAACTTAATCAGCAAAAATCATTCGATATCACGTGCATCGCACGTGCACTTTACTAGTGCTCAAAAAAGGAGGAAAAACTAGAAACTAAAATAATTAAAAGAAAAAATATGAAACTAAATAGTCAATGTCAATACAAATATTCTGAGTATTATACAGCCCTACTGCCCGAGTAAATAGTACACTCCTAATTATCAAAATTAGACAAATGTTGATGGAAATGTGTAACAACCATTGAAATTTCCTTAAATATGTGAAGTTGACTAGTTGAAGAGGGAAGTTTGACTAGGCTAAGCTATAATCTAAATGTGAAGTTGACTAGTTGAAGAGGGAAGTTTGACTAGGCTAAGCTATAATCTAAACTTTAAACTCATTTGAAATTCCTATGAACTCTTCTTAAATGGCAGCAGCTTAACATGACATAAAACTTCTTCAATAGTACTATGATATATTTCTTTAATATTTATTGCACCAACAAGAAATAAATATTAAATAGAGAACCATTTTTTTTTTCCGAGAACCAAACAGAATCTTCATAACATAATTGCNATAAATAAATAAAAAATGTTGATTCAACTATCGTAACCGTTTCTATGCGCCTTTTGCCATCTCCATGCAACAGCCAAGCTCTCTTCAAGGTTTGTATATTTTGCTTTCCAGTTGAGTTCGTTCCAAATCTTCGAAGGATCACTATAAACCTCTGCATAATCTCCCGGCCTTCGACTAAGGTATTCGACTTTTATGTTTTCTCCGGTTGCCTTCTTACATGCCTCAACAAATTCTTTTACCGAGCTACCTTTAGTCGAAACAAACAAGTGCATTGTGATCAGTTGCATGAACTTAGATCAAACCTGAAGTGTACTTTAGTTTTTTTTCGAAAAAAAAAATAAAAAAATCGCGTTTTTGCTTTGTTTCGAACCTTTTCCTGTGCCGACATTGTAGATACCGACTTTTCTGGGCTGGGCTCGGGCTAGAGCTTTAACGTGCGCATCAATTAGATCGGTCACATCAATGTAATCTCGCACACAAGTTCCATCTGGAGTGTTGTAATCAACTCCTCTGATCTGAATAAAAGCAAACAATTAAAAAGAAAAAAAAGTCAAAAATTTTACTTAAGCAAATGGATTTTTGTCGAAAGTGTAAGAACCGAAAAATGCATATACTTTTAGTCCGGGAATTATTCCTCTGGCTGCATCAAAACAAGCGCCCGAGATTCTCCCTTGTTCGCGAAGCTCGGGTCGTGGGGCCTCACCGAGCCTTCCTTCAGGGTCGGATCCAATCACGTTAAAGTACCTTTATCAAGTTCAATTTTTTTTTTAATCTGTTAAACTCATTCTTAAAAGAACTCAAAACAAGTCTTAAACAGAGGTTATATTATAATCAGTTTTTAACTGACCTTAAGATCATGACTGCCATGTCTGATGTCTTGGAGAAGTCCAATATAACGTCTTCAGCCATTTTCTTGGCTTTTCCGTACGGATTGATCGGCAGCTAATTTCCAAGAAAGAAAGAAAAATAAAAAAATAAAATGAAAATTAATCTCATCAATTGTTAATGTTCTGCCTCTCAAATTTCGACAGTAAACTGAAGAAATCGCTCACTTGAGGAGTTTGTTCTGTGATCGGCATTTTTTCAGGCTCCCCATAAGTCGCGCAGGTACTCGAATAGATTAAGGTCTTAATGCCATGTTTTGCCATTGCTTTCACAATCAATAAAGTGTTTGAAGTAATGTTATGATAATACCTGCATGAATTTCCACAGGAATTAATACAGAGTTTCATTATGAACAATCGAACATCGAGTTGAGTTAAAACGACTAAATGAGTGGCGATTAAGAATACGCTTATTTTGCTGTCTTTTTTCTTTTTTTTTTTTTCTTTTTTTTTTTTCACATTGGTGAATTAGGAGAATAAGTGGTCTAACTAATGGAGGCTCTTCCTTGGACTTCCTCATAAGCTTGACTTCTCTATCAACCTTGTAAGAACCCATAAATTCAGAAAACAACACTTTTATTGCAAAAAAAAGAAAACTTATTATATAACTATTTGTAAAATTATTATTACTGCTACAAGTTTTATTTTTCAATTGTGTGCAGAATTTTGGGGAACAATAATATCTCCGGTTCTATACCTTCATTTTTTGGTTCATTTCGGAGCTTGACACTCCTGTAAGTATCATCCATGACACATACCACATCACAAATTATATTGTTATATAGAATATGATATTTCAATTTAAAAATATGCATATCTGTCGAAAAAATAATAAATATTTAGCCGTTAAGTCTGAACTGAACTCATAAACAATTTTTGCTAGATAAATTGAACTGAACTTGATATGTAATGTACAATAATGGCTTTGTGTTACATATATGTTCACAGGGATTTGAGCTTCAATCTATAGTTATTAATGGAGGGAGTGTTGATTAAAATAGGTAGTTTTTTTTTTTTTGTAAGATTTGTCTATTGAAGGAATGGTTTTTGCGTTTTTTGTATGATATATACAAATTTTTGTTAGAATGAAATTTTGCCTGAAGACTATTATAGCAATTGGAAGTTCAAGATGGGATTAAGCAGTTTAGAAGGAATCCCTGTTGTTTTAATAGTGGTGAGGTGAAAAGGCCGGGGCAAATGATTTCGAAAGGGCATAAGAATTATGATTTGATGCTCAATTTTCAGCTGGGTATTAGGTACAGTTGAAATCCATTAGCAAGCTTTTTTTTTTTTTTTTTTTTTTTTT